CTACGCGCGCTCAGAAAGACAGGACTGGGCCCGCGGCAGTGGGCGACTGCTTAGCTGCAGGCACACCGCGCACTCCTTCGCGGGGGCTTGCAGCGTGCCGGAAGCTGGGACGGTTAGCCATGGGTGTCCTTTTGGTTGAAAACAGATGGCCCTGGTAGTTGATTGAACCGCCAGGTAAACCAGGGCCCGCCATGTTTCAACCAAATCAACCAAAAAGGACCTATGTTTCTAGCATTTCTACTCAGGGTCCACGTTTTGACTACCTGGAGTCTCCATGACCCTTTAAAAGTAGGTCCCATGATAGTTGGGGTCCCCCATTTTTGAAGGGTCATGGAGACTCTAGGTTCCCCAAGATAGACTCGAACTCAGGGGTTCTCCTTTTGGGGGAATAGAACTACCCCTGGGGTTAAGTCTATGCTGGGGTAGTCAACAAGTGGAACCTTGTTTCCACTGGCCCCGAACCTCCAGTAGTGCAGAACTTTGCGAAATCCCGTGTCTCGAGACAATCTGTGGACCACAAAAGCAAAAGGTCACCACATTTTGGGGCCATGACTCAAAATGATTAGGTTACCCAAAAGGCGAAGCCAAAAGGTCCAAAGGTCGATTTGCTTTGGGAGTGAGCAACCGCAAGCAAGGAGCCAAAGGTACTGTCACCTGCCCCTGGCCCCTGAAACAGAATGACACATCCTTGGTACATGGCGACCCCGTGCCGAGGGTGCCTGCCCAAAATGGTGGTTTTCCTTTTGATGCTTTGCAAAGGCTGGTCGTTGCTATGGCTGCTATGGGGACCGAGTTCAACATAAGGTGTTCCACGGGTTGTCACGACCAGGGTAAAAACTCCTATGTTCACCCGTTGCTCTTTTGAAACAACCCACCTTTTCTGAAAAGCAAGGTGTCGAACAAAACAGAGGCGCACCATTCTTTTAGCGTACCTTGTTGTATTCGATTCCTGCAACATGGAATCCCAAGAAAGTGGGTATTTGAGAGCCCCAAAGGGAAACCAAAAGGAAAACCAGCTTGCGCAGCTGCTGCCTTGTGCGCCTGTGATGTATTGCCCTGGTGCTTTGTGCGGCGTCGGTGCCGGGCTTTGGCTTGGGTACGGCTGGTCTGTCTCCTCGAGGGCGTCCTCTTTGCGGGTGGGTTCAGAGGAAGCCAAACAGAGACCACCATTTTGGGGGGCTCCGATTTGACACATGCGGAGGGGTGTCGATAGGGAACCCCCTCCAAAATTGCGGGTTTCTCCTCTGGTTTCCCTTCAAGACCACAAAAAAAGACGGTACCCTCAAACAAAAACCTACCGCCAGTGTCTCCAGCTTCCCGGACAAGCACACAAGGTTGCTTGCCCAACCCTCGACCAGTGTTACCCAGCAAGTGTCCTCACGTCCAAAGGGTTGCTCATATATATATATATATACACAACTATCCTGCTATGCATAAATGCATCATATGTGAATATATATATATATATGTATATATATATGCATAATCCTGCATACAACATATATATATATATATATACATATTCTACTATATAAATACCTGTCACTTGCCCCGCGTTTAAGACCTGGGTCCAGCGATTGGATTCTTGTCGCAGACCTCCTCCTTGGCAGCGTGGGACCACAGCTGCACGGCGGCCTGTCGCACGAACCGACGGGGGCGCAGGTGCTCCACGGATCTGCAGGAAACCTTGGTTGACGTTGGAAGGGAAGCAACAAAACAACTTTTGCAGTTAAGTGGTTGGATGTCACTAAACCACAATAAGCAAAAATGTAAGATGTTTCCCAACAACAATCATGAAATGGCCCCTCAAAACGGCCCGGAAAGAGGCTGCTTTCATGCCTATCCTGGATGTGCTGGCTTCGCCAAGCTAGTCAGTTGCTAGGAACCGTTCCCTCTAAAGCTCCTGGTAGCTCCGAAAGCCTCCCTCTGTAAACACAAAACTGGCTACCCAGCTCGGAGCTCGGCGCCCCTTACGATTTTCGGACAAGCCCGACATCGCACCTCCAGCTCCGAAGTCGTAAATCCTCTGGCCACCTTCTTCTCCCCAGCCTCCTGGGCTTCTCAGGTTTGAGGGGGAACTCCCCGAGCCCAGCCACATCGAATCAATCAAACTCGTGGGAACAACCAACTTCCCGAGGCACGTTCAATCCAGATTCCAATCCAGACTCGAATCTGGATTCAATTCCAGATTGCATTTCAGAATCCATTTTGGACTCACAATCCAAGAATCCACTCTGGATTCCGTACTGAAAAACAAAATCCAGCAAGCTTTTCCCCTTTTGGTCCACATGAGATTTCTATTCTCATGCAGGTTGTTATTTAACAGATGTGCCGCCCCAGCAAAACTCCCCACCTCCCTTTCGAAGAGGGAAGTAGTCTTTCCACAGGGGTCTGTCCATGTTAGTCGGTTAAAGGGTAAGTCACAAAACGTCTGCCTGTGGAAAAAACCTCAGCCACGCATGTGGACGAAGGTTGGAACCCCTTCGTTCGGTTGGAATTGATGAAGCTACGCAATGACCGGCATTAAACCCTCAAACCAAATCACCAATTCAAGTTGCTCAAGAAGGCCTTCGTGCCTTTTCTGCCGGGGAAATTGTGGTGGTTGGTGCGTTGACCAAGGGTTCAGTGCTGAAGAAAAGGTTGCGCGGTCACTTTTGCTTGATGGCAACGACCCGTTAAAGGAGGCCACTTCCAGAAACAGCTCGAAGTTGTGAAGTTGGGAAAACTTCACAACCCGTACCGTCATTTGAAGGCCACTTCAATGTCCTAATGGAACAAAAAGTGACCCCTCGACACGGGAGGTGGCGAGTCAGGCTGAAGTCGGGGGCCTTCCTGGACGAAAACACCCTGCGAAGGCCGACCTCTGCAGTGGATATAGATGGAGGGCGGCTTTTCGTTTAAGGCACCCCGGGTGGTGTTCCTGTTGGCTTCCTTCAAAGCCGCAAGAAGATATACCCTCAACAAAAACACACCCACATTGGAGAAGGGCCCAGTTCGTAGTGTAAGACCAGGAATGTGATGTATGGCAATTCAATTTAGTGGGGAACCCCCGGAATCTGACATTTTCCCACAAAATACAATTGTCACACCCAACGAACCAACCAGCCCAGTCAACCGCAGGCAACACACATGGAAATCCTAGCAACCCCAAAACTGGCAAAACATCAAATGCGACAAAACACATCAGATCTTCCCTACCTTCAGAGGGCAAAGGGGTGTGGGGGGATCCCCCAATTTCATTTTATCTGGTCTTCCCCATAAAAAGGAGAATGAAACCAAAATGGAGATCCAGGGGTCATCCCCTTCCTCCAATTCCATCTAAATTTGTAATGTTGGCATAATATTAACAACCCCTGCTTACTGACAAGTGAAAAATGGGTCACCCCGGAGATCGAATTTGGCTCGAATTTCCCCGTCCCCCCAAACCATCGGGGAACCCTTCCGCCCGCCAGTCCTCGATGGTCAAATTCTCCAGCACAGGAATCCGCGCGGAACGTCCGGACCTTGACAACGGAGCAGACAAAAAGAAGCGCCTGAGCATCACGCCAACCAACAAAACATAGTTATGAAGGTCAGTTTTTGTTCTTCTCGAAACCAAAAAACATGTATATCATTGCATTATTTACATTGCAGGAATTCAAGAATAAACACGTGCAATTGAAACAGCAGGGAGACGTGCAAATCCAGGCATGGCACTTGCTTGCCATCAACTTGCCCGCAAGTGCTGGCGACGATTGGCAGAAATGCACTTGAGGAGATCACAGTGATGACTCTTTACTCATTGCCAAAGTACACTTCTGGTATGACCTTAGATCCAATACTTCTCCCTGTGCATCTCGGGTTCATCGTACATGTCCGACTCAGCGCTCAGAAGGCTCCGAATTCCGAATGCAATCCCAGTGACAAAGGCCGCGCACGGCTGTAGCTAGAAGATGCCTCAGATCGAGGAACATCGAAGTGAGTGATCAACGTGCCACGTTGGAAGGGGAGCAAGAAAAGGAAAATAATTGCAGTTAAGTGCTTGGACTTTCAACCACAACACCACAATAATCAAAAATGTAAAATGTTTCCCAACAACAACCAATATTTGTTTAGGCACCACCGTTCAAAAATCCCGGCATGATTCGATTCCCCAACGGAAAAGTACAAATAAACTATGGTTTCAACCATGGTTTCCAAGTGGTGCAGAAATTCGTTCATCCACGGTGGTTCAAGATTGCGCCGAGTTGAAAAGTCACGGCTCCGATCGACAAGGACCCCGTGACGATCAGACCATACCACAAACAATCAGAATGCTTGAGCATGGCACACCTCAGAACATCGCAACAAAGAAAACACAGAAGTGTAGTCTCACAGCCGACGTGATGTGCCCACCAACAGTGTGTCGGCATATGCACCTTTTTGGATTCCAGGTATCACACATGGTATCCAGATATTTTCGAGTTACAGCTTAATCAAAGGGTTGTTCCATTGGGCACCTTCTTTTACAGGGGCATCACTGATCTCAAACCAAAACCGCGGCACTGCATCCAGCGCTGCCCTGCGCCATTCGTCTGCGTAGGAGGGCAAAGTACCTGCACTGTCCATTGGTCTCTGCTCACTTTCCGAGTGGATTGGCCAGAAATAGTCGCCAAACTTTTTGCTTGCCACCAAAATGTGGTCATACCTTCCAGCAGCTCAGGAAGTGACAAAAATCGTACCTCAAAATCGCGGTCCGAAGATTCTTATGGCATGTTACTTTCTATGAATAACCACCTCTGTGGTGGGAATGAGCCCGAATTCTGATGTCAGAGTCGCTTGTGCAAATTCACACCCGGAATGGGTCCCTTGGCATGAGCCAATGTTGCATGGGGACACCAAGAAACTGAGCCCGCTTGAGTTTTGTCTTTTTCGGCAAAGGCAGTCGAGCCCCTCCAAAACCGACGGAAGATTGGAGTGCCAATGATTGCTTTGACAAAGCTTTGAGAAAAGAAAGAAAGAGCAGCCGCCTCCTGAAACATGTCCCATAAGCACAGTCCGGAGGCATGAATCAAGTCCTTCATAGCTACGCAGGCGCCTGCATTTTCGGGGCTGTGCTGCGCTCTCAAATTGAGTTTTTATTCTTCGCCCAGAACCCCACAAAAAAAAAAGCGACATGTGTCACGGCTTGTTCAGAGGAAAACCCATCCCAGGGAAAGGGCCTAAGGCGTGGAACAGACCGGACAACTTGGAAACTTGACATCTCAGGCAGTCCAAATGGCTGGCCTCTGGCGAACAAAAAACGCCCTCCCAAAGGTGTCGTTGACAAACCTGCCATGCCATGCCTGGCCAGAAAGGTTTCAACCCGACTACGCCGAAACTAAGCAATTCCCCAGGCTACAAGCCGACGGTGAATCCTGGCCTCGAGTAAGAAAACAGTCACCGTCTTCCCACATCAAGGTTCCGTTAGGTCGTTCTTGATACCTCTTGCGTATCAAAGGCTCAAGACAGCAATTTCTACCTAAATCCAAAACCCACAAGACTTTGTCCCGTGTTGGGTATTCACCTGATGCAAAGTCACTCCTACCAGCACAGGAAACAGCCCATAACGAAATGCGCGTTCTGCCCTGGGTCACTGTTGGTATCGCCTGGCAAGGACACACTGACGCAGAGACACCATCGAATTGGTCTGGCGTACCAAAATGAAATGGGAAACGGATGTCTATCACGGTTGAACACAAAATACGCATGGCCCGGCCAGTTGGAGGGGCTCCTAGCTTTGACACACAGGTAATATGGAAGCCTTTTCAGTAAGACAGAGCAAGTTGCTTCAAATGTCCAAAAGCAAAATACATTTACCATCATGCAAATCCGCCGCAGGGAACCGTTGAAGCTTGCATTTGTTCGGCCGATCTCGTCCATTTCAGACCATGCTTGGTGCACAATGTTCAAAGCTTCCACCGAAATACCCGAAACGACCATGCCCCATCCAGAACGCGGTATAAATATGCATATTAATCTCGTCCTCTCTCTCTCTCTCTCTCTCTTCTGTCCTGTATAATACATATACATACATATATATATATATGTATGTCTACGTATATACACATAATATATTGGTTTGTCGCTCAATGGCGGGGGTATCTCCAAAATCCCTTCAAAACCACCCAACAAGGGTACCCTCAAAAACATACGAGCCACCCATACATTGCATTTGGGGCACCTATCCAAGCACTTGGACAGCTAAAAGAACCCAGCCATCCCGGCAACAGGGAGGCAAACAAATAAACTACCAGCACCCGGGTCCATAGCAACCACTGATTTTTGAACATTGGGAGGTTGGACACGAGTATGTCATGTTTTTAGGGACCCCCCTCCAAAAAAAAGAACGAAAGAGATGTTCCTCTTGGCTCCCCACCAAAGCCACCACAAAACGGGTACCAACTCTACCAAAACGTCTCTGCATGGTTGAAAAAGAAGTTGGGGCCTGGGTGCTAGAGGCAGCGGGCCTCACATAGGTGTCCTTTTTGGGAAAATAGATGGCCCAGGTAAACCAGGAATCGCCCTCGATTTTTCCACCAAATCAACCAAAAGGACACCTATGGCGGCCCTCATCGCCCGCGCATCAACTATTTTTCTGCGACTCGACCCGCTGCCACCACCGGAAGAAGGGCTCGTCGCAGCACCCCACGTCGCTGGGAGGGCAGCCGCGCACCTTTCCGGGGGCGGTGGGAGGCCAGCGATGCTCCGGGGCGCTATGAGCCATGGGCCATCCAAAAACTCTGTTTTGTTTGACCTATGGCGACTTTTGGTTGTCAGAACGTAGTATGGGATCATTTCTCTCAGGGAAAGGTGTAGAGTGTTCTTTTTTCTAGTGGACCTTTTTTTTGATACCGTTATTTTGTGGATCATCTTCTGATGTTTCTATTGCAGTTGCTATTAAAAATACTCGGAATGGTCCAAACCAAGAAGGAAAACCACGGTTTTGGTGGGCCCCCAACAAACAAGGGGGCAACAGCTGTGGTTCTACTGATTGTTTGGCCTTTGGCCATAGTTGTCTAAATGGGAATGGTTATATGATGGTTATTAGGGTCAGAGGAATGACCATGCCTACTAACCCCAAGAAAAGGGGGGGGGTTTAGATATGGGGCTGTCTTTCGTCTTTTGTCGGTACCCTTTTTGGGGGTGGCTTGTTTGATGGGGAAGCCTCAAATAGAAAACTACTAGTTGGCTCGGTTGCTTTTTGCTCCCCTGCTAAAAATTTAACTTTTAGTGGTTTAATGGAAGGCCCATGAGTTGGCAAAAAGTTAAAGTCCTAACATCCAAGCAGAATGCACCAAAGTTGGGGGGTCCCCCCATAAAAACGGCGGGCCCGTCATGTTACACACCGATTCGCGTTCATTTTGACACACAGCGACATGACTGGCGATCATTTTTTAACACATCGACCTTCATTGGGGGTCATTTTCCAACACATGGTCCCTACAAAAAGACACATCCATATGTCTAAAAAGAAACATACATGCTTTGCTGCAAGCACGAGTAAATCAGGTAGTAGAACCACCTACTCCTGGCTCTTCTAGGGGTGTTGGCTCATCTTTGTTGGAGAAAATCGCGATTAGTTACCCGCCAAAGTGGCACTGGGGTCACTGGAACTCTCTTGAAGTTGCAACTTTGGGAACAATTACCTCTCCCTGCAATCATGTAAGCTGACGGTTGGAATGTGTTGGAAGACTGCTTTCGTTTTGGGGAAGCCCCCTCGTCCATGGTTTGCTGAAAAGACTGATCAACATGGTCAACAGAAGCCTTACCGAGGGGACCCCTTATGGCAAGCCTGGTGGAAAGATTCAGGATTGGCTTGAGCCTTCCGTGCTTTGGTTCCCCTTTTGTGAACTCAAGCACCCTGGCGTTTCAGTCTACCTCGGGACAAACCAAAAATGGAACCCGCAAGGACAGGACACCCTCATGTGCTTTGGAGTCCGGCGGTTTGGATTTGACTCCCTGGTTCTAGAGGACCCATAAATTGGAAACCAGCCCCTTGAATCAGCTTTCCTTAAATCATTGGCTTGGAGCCGGAGCCGAATCAGTGGTTTCCATCTTAACATTTACACTGTAAACCCCCACCAAGGGTTCAAATCCAGATTCAAACCACATCAAACCACCAATCCAAAGCACCAATTGGAGGGAAGCTGGTAGAAACTCCTTGCCGAGGCGCCCACTCAAAGCCATTTGGCTCGAGTCCATGCGTCAGCCCGGCCACCGCGTAGCCGAAGCCCAACAGCCGCTCGGCGGCCGCAGACGTGAAGTTGGCGAAGCCATAGCTGCAGACCAGCACCTGAACAGTAAGTACCAGCACCCCTAAAAGTTCTCGACTTTTCGCAGGGGATCAGTTTGGAGTGCCGATTCTAGGGGGTTCAAAGACCACCATTCTAAAGACAAAAACCAGCAACACCACCTTTGGGTGCGTATTTCAAGGGACAAGCCCAGCGACACCACCATTTTGGGGGGCGGGTCATTGCGGGTCCATAGCGAGCGATGCTTCTTAAACAGTCCTTGGGATTTTTGACCGGAGAAAAAGCAGTTGTTGTGGGGGTGATGCTTCATGGGCGGTTTGGATCGGTGGTTTGGATTTGGACTTGAACGGGTGCCTGGTTTTTGTAGAGGCTTCATGGGAATCCCCTCCTTAACCACCAAACCACCGGGCTCCAAACCACCCATTAGAGGGAAGCTGAGATTTTCGGTTACCAGCACACGGTCCCTAGCGACCTCTGCTTCTTAAATAGGTCTCGGGATTTTGGAAAGGGGGAAAACCGTTGTTGGGGGGGGGGGGTGATGTTTCATGGGTGGTTTGGATCGGTGGTTTGGATTTGGACTTGAACGCGTGCCTGGCATTTGTAGAGGCTTCATGGGAAGCCCCTCTTTAACCACCAAACCACCGGGCTCCAAGCCGCCAATTTGAGGGAAGCTGAGTGTTTGTTGTTCAAAATCAAACGTGACAAACAAAGTACAAGCAAAAGCAACACGGCCCTTCAACTGGGGCTCTAGAAAAGTGAAAACAACACAATCATCGTGCGGTTGGAAGAAAATACACAAAACCGGTACTTCCTGACTCACTGCCCACTGACTCAACCTCACTGACTCACTCCCTGACTGGCTCGCTGACTCGCTGACTCGCTGACTTGCTGACTCGCTGACTTTCTGACTCGCTGACTCCCTCGCTCGCCTACTCACTCATTGACACACACACACACACACCTACACGCGAAACACACACACACACACATGCACAAAGAGCACACTCCAAACACGCATCAAGCAATGGGCCGTGCCAATGAGCCGTCGATCCTCTGACCAAACACACATACACACACATATATATATATATATATGCATACTCATATCAATGGGGCCATCAACAGCTAGGGGTCCCGTTCAAGGAGCATTGAACTTGTCACAGAATAATGCTCCAGATATATCGGGGGAGAGGGGTCTTTGTTTTTGGGGTGGTTGTAAAGGGAAACCAGCAATTCTGGGGGTTCACCCATCAACACCACACCCATAGCAGCCTGCTTCCTGCGACCATACTCTCAGTTAGAAGAAGCCCCTTTTAAACAAAGTCCGACTATATTCCCGAGACTCACAAAGTACCTTTGAACACCGATACCCCACCTCATTCTGCACTACCAGGGCACCAAAAAGACGATACCCTGCCCGGACCCCAGCACCAACACTGTCCGCTGCTCCTAATGTTGACCCCGGATCTAAGTAGAACCCGTGTTCTTTGGGAGGGTGTCCCCTCCAGTGGTCTAAATCAACACTAAGCCCAGGCCACACGGGGTGTATGAATCTGGGGTCAAGATCAAGCCGGAGGAAGTCCTCCGGCTACCAGACCAGGGGCCATTCATTTCCCGAGGCGCGCAGCCGATCTGCTTCCTGCGGAGCAGCGTGCTGGCGCCATCCAACACATCTGCCTGGCGAAGTTCGGGTACGACGAGACCGCTTCGATAAGCGGGGGTGGGGGGGTTTGTTGTTCGACGAAAACGCGGAACAACAAGACCCCCCCCCCCCCCCGCGCCCCCCCCCCCCGGCGAACAACAACAAGTCCCCCCCCCTTCTCACTTGTTGTTCGACCCCCTCCCCCCCCAACAACAAGTCCCCCCCCCCCACCTGTTGTTCAACTTCCCCCTCCCGGCGAACAACAACAAGTCCTCCCCGGCCTCCCCGCCCCCCACTTGTTGTTCGACCCCCCCCCCCAAACAACAAGCCCCCCCAAAACTTGTTGTTCGACCCCCCCCCGAACAACAAGCCCCCCCCACTTGTCGTTCGCCCCCCCACCCCTGCAAAAGATGGACAAGCCAAAGCGGCCAAGAAAGCTTCGCTTTGAAGCGAAAGGCCCCGAAACTTTTCAGACTCTGCCTTCTGAACGCCCACTTGGAGGGCGCCGCCGGAACAACAAGTCCCCCCTCCCCCACTTGTTGTTCAACCCCCCCCCCCGGCGAACAACAACCAGCCCCCCACTTGTTGTTCGACCCCCCCCCCAAACAACAAGTCCCCCCCCCCCCACGTGTTGTTCGACCCCCCCCCCGGGAACAACAAGTCCCCCCCCCTTGTTCCCCAGAACAAGAAGTCCTCTCCCGCCCACTTGTTGCTCGACCCCCCCCCCCAGCGAACAACAACAAGTCCCCCCCCCCCCACTTGTTGTTCGACCCCCCCCCCAAACAACAAGTCCTCCCCCTTGTTCGACCCCCTCCAAAAAAAAACAAGCCCCCGCCCCAACTTGTTGTTCGACCCCCCCGAACAACAAGCCCCCCCACTTGTCGTTCGCCCCCCCACCCCTGCAAAAGATGGACAAGCCAAAGCGGCCAAGAAAGCTTCGCTTTGAAGCGAAAGGCCCCGAAACTTTTGAGAGGGGATTCAGACTCTGCCTTCTGAACGCCCACTTGGAGGGCGCCGCCGGAACAACAAGTCCCCCCCTCCCCCACTTGTTGTTCAACCCCCCCCCCGGCGAACAACAACCACACTTGTTGTTCGACCCCCCCCCCCCCCAAACAACAAGTCCCCCCCCCACGTGTTGTTCGACCCCCCCCCCGGGAACAACAAGTCCCCCCTTGTTCCCCAGAACAAGAAGTCCTCTCCCGCCCACTTGTTGCTCGACCCCCCCCCCGCGAACAACAACAAGTCCCCCCCCCCCACTTGTTGTTCGACCCCCCCAAACAACAAGTCCCCCTCCCGCACTTGTTGTTCGCCCCCCCCGGAACAAGAAGTCCTCTCCCCCCCGCACTTGTTGTTCGACACCCCCGCCCCCGGAACAACAACCCCCCCCTCTCCCACTTGTTATTCGAGCCCCCCCCCCCCCGCCCCCCCACTTGTTGTTCGACCCCCCCCCCCCCCGGAACAACAACCCCCCCCCCACTTGTTATGCGAGCCCCCCCCCCCGAACAACAAGTCTCTCCCCCCCCCCCCACTTGTAGTTCCAGCCCCCCCCACCCCCGAACAACAACTCCCCCCCTCCCCCCCACTTGTTATTCGAGCCCCACCCCCCCGAACAACAAACCCCCCCACCCCTTATCGAAGGGGTATGGGTACGACGCAAAACTCCTCACTCCAAGAGAGCGCGGGGAACTGATCCGCAAATTTTACGATATGGCCGTGCCTCAGAAAATGGTACCATAATCGCACCTTGGTACATGGAACCCAGAGATTAAAACCTGCGTGACCCTGGCTCTTAATTTTGAGCCACACCCATATGTCCAAAACCTGAAAGAAGGAATCCCCAAGGATCTTATCGTAGTGAGCTCGTTTTACCCTCAGGTGGGATCGCCATAAGATAGGCAGAACTGATACATGAGGGGCTTGATCGGGCACATTGATGCCAAACCACTCCTTTGAGGGTCGTCGTGTGGTTTTTCTTGTGGGCTCCCCTTTAAACCCACCCCGAACAGGGTGCCAACTCTAAAAAAGACAGAATATGGGTACATCCCTAGCCTTTCAGCTTAACACTGCTCAGGAAGCCGAAAAGCCATTCGCCCAATTCTTCGGCATCTGCCTGTCCCGCATTACTTCAAGTCGCACGCCCGAGATTCCTTTGTCGGGTCTACCGGTCGACTTTGACTTCGCCCTAAGCAAAAACGACATATTGAAGGAACAAAAAACAACGCATTCTTTTAGACAGGGTCCCCTTTTCAGGTTGGTTTTTAAGGGAGACCAAAAGGCAAGAAGTCCATTCTGGGCGTCCCAAAAGCCGGTTTTGACGCATCTCCTAGCAACTGGAGACCCAAAGCGCAAATTTGCCAGGGACTGACCAGATGCAAAAGTTGAAACTCCGAACTGGGGAAAAGGCTTAAAAGGCGTGTCATGTTGTTAGGGGGAACCTGGGCCTTTAAAAGGAAACCAAAAGGAATACATCCAAAAAGGGGTTCCCTAACAAAAGGGTTTTAGGCATTTTGCGGGGTTCCCTCAGAAAGGACACCTGCAAAAAGATCAGCTAGGTATAGCTAGGTCATGAATGGCGCGGCACGCTGCTTGGCCTCCCAGTGGTTCACAAATATCGTCAGCAGGTCGATGAACTCACCTGGCGCGCCCCGACTCTCTCGGCTCGCGGATTGGCATCTTGGCCCATATGAGTATCACGGCAAGATGGACCACCATTAAAGCAGAACACAGCAAAGTCATACCAAATGAAGCAAGCAAACAAGCAGACAAGCAGACAAGCAGACAAGCAGACAAGCAGACAAGCAGACAAGCAGGCAGGCAGGCAGGCAGGCAGGCAGGCAGGCAAGCAGGCACACAAGCAAGCAAGCAAGCAAGCCAGCCAGCCAGCCAGCAAGCAAGCAAGCAAGCAAATGAGCAAGCAGATGAGCAAGCAAATGAGCAAGCCAGCAAGCGAGCAAACAAACAAACAAACAAACAAACAAGCAACCATACAAACACACGCACAACAATCGCAAACACAAACACAAACACAAACAAGCAAACAAGCAAGCAAGCAAACAAACAAACAAACAAGCAAGCAAAAAAACAACCACATAGACAAAGCGATTGACGGACAATCAGGCAAACAAACAAAGAGACAAAAACATGGACAAACGGACACACAAATACATAGACAGACCGATCGACAAACAAACAGAGAGGCAAACGGACAAACGGACAAACGGACAAACCGACCGACCGATCAACCAGAGCAGCAAGCAAGCAAGCAAGCAAGCAAACAAACAAACAAACAAATTTAAGGTGACACACACACACACAACAAAGCACATCATTAAACCAAAAGAAACACACGCGCAAACACCAAACTAACCATTGCACAACAACCAACACACATCGACACACATCGAAACACATCGACACACATCGACACACTCGTCACACAGCGAACCGCATCGACACACATCATGCTGTTTGGAACAAACTTGGGGTGGTTGGCGTTTTCAAAGAAAACAAGAAAGTTACCCACAATTTCTCCCACTTCCAAGTAGCCTCAAAAGGAACCAACCCAAAAAAAGACACGAGCAAAGGGAAGGCAACGCAAACACCGGCAAAATGGGGGACCGCCCGAACAAGTCGGAAGAACAACATCACAAGAAGGCGAGCATCACCCGCAAAGCCAGTGGGAGACTATGTCCCCAACTCCCACTGGCTGGCCAATAAGGGGGCGCCCTTTGTTGGTTGACTGTAGAGGGCTTCAACTTCAACTTTAAGGGGATCCAACACGAACCCCCAGCGCCAGTCCAGTTTGGGTTCTCTAAACCGAGCGCCGAACATTCCTGTTTCCCACTAGAATAGTCCAAGCCCAAAAAAGTTGTTCAAGGCCCAGAACTCGGGGAGTGAGTTGCACCACGTTTCTTTCCAGCGCTCGCTCGCTCTCCGCGTTCGCCTCGCAAGCTGCTGAGCGCCTTGTCCAGGGTGGTGCTGGGCACCGACAGCGGGGTGCCTTTGACCTGGTGCCCGAAGCCCCCGTGGAAGACCTGACGCGGAACGGCAGGCGGAAGGCCGAACTCCGGCCAAGGGGGTCAAAGACAGGAAAGGTCTAAGGAGACTTGGTTGATTCAATTTCACGAATTACTGTCAGACCTGGTAGGATTTGGTTGATATTCAACTTAAACAGAATACTACCATGTCCTTATAGACCTCTTGGTAGCTCCCTGATGCTCCCTGAATAGAAGCAAATTGGATACCCCCAGCTCCGTAACGGCTCCCTTCAAACCAACAGCTAGTTTAGGTCCAGGGGTTGATGGGCCTTTCAATGTATTCTGTGAAATCTTAGGATGGTCTGTCTCTCGATGCCCCTCCACTCCAAAAACGTGATGGATGAGCTGTAGTGTGTGTGATCTTGTGGATGCATCCGACGTACTTTCTGCTGGCTGTTTAGGGAATACCAGGCCAACCATAACCAGCCACAGGCAAAAAGCACAAACCTCAGAGCCTCCAAGAGGTTGACTCCTCTGATCCACCAGTAAGTTGCGACGGGGGGGGGGGGGAAGGAACTCCCAAGGACCTTCTCTTTCGGGGACTTAGTCTTGCAGGGCTATACTGATACTGGGAGCATGATGCAAAATGCGAGGTTACTGAGCAAGACGTTGGAACCCCTGACCGCTTCTTCTTCTTCTTCTTCTTCTTCTTCTCCTTCTTCTTCGTTTTGTTCTTCTTCTTCCTCTTCAAATCTCTGGATTCCCTAAGCCTTGGGGTGTTTAAGTCTAAAGGGCCGCAAGCGGCTTGCTAAGCACGGCGGCTGCCTTTCTGATTTCACTGAACATCTGCTGTTTTTCCGCATCTTGGTGTGCCTGCGCTTTCACCTGGGATACTTTGCCATGCTTCCCAATCCTACTCTTCATCACTAAATGGGTGCACCTCTTTGGAGCTAGTTGGAGGTGAACCCAAATAGCTCACATGTAATATATTTGCTTTATTATCCTGGCGCTCAATTACTGACACGTCAATCTGCTTGTCCCGTTGAGTCTTTCAGTAGCAAGACAGCACCGGCTACTACCAAGAGAAAGGCAGCTTGGGCAGCACAAACATCGAACCCGCGCAGGGACA